ACAAAAAAAAGTATAAAACCAAAAATTAAAAAAATTAAAAATTAAAAAAAAAATAATTAAAAACAATACATATAATAATATAAAGAAAAACAAGTAAAACAAAAAAGGGTAAAAAACTTGAAACAAAAAAAGGGATAGTAAGGTTTAGTTAAACACAAATACACATAAAAAATTAATTAAAAAAAATTTTAATCTAAAATTTTGAACTAAAAAGGTAAAAAAAGAAATAAAAAAAAAGAAAATTAAAATAATCAAAATTCCCATTTAAAAAAATCAAATACGGGACAAGTTTTTAAAAGAGAAAAAATGTAGAAAAGATAAAATATATAAAAAATAAAAGGAGGGACAAAATCACAAATTTTTGAAAAATCCAAAACTAAAGTGTTAAAAAATAACAAAATGAATAAAAAACAAAAATAATTGATTGAAAATACTGATGTAAGAGAAATCAAAATAAAAAAAATAATAAGATAAGGAATTCAAAAAATCAACAAACATAGAAATACTAACAAAATAAAAAAGAAAGAGAAAATTAAAAAAGAGAAAGAGAAGAAAAAAGAAAAAAGAGAATAAAAAAATAAGAAAATGAAGGAAGAAAAAGAAATAAAGAAAAATGTATAAAAAAGAAAACAAAAAACAAAATCATTTAAATAAGAGATATCCGGAATATTTTTTATGGTAATTAAGAAAATTAATTATAGAACAAATATAAAAAAAATAAAAAATAAGAGAACAAGAATTAAAGATCTAAAAAGAAGAAAAAAGGAGAAAAAAGGAAGCAAGAACAAAATAAAAAAACAAAAAAATTTAAAAAACCAAAAATAAAATAAAGATATTTTCAAAATAAAAAAAAAACAAAAAATAAAATCACCTTAGATCAATCAGGAGTTACAAGTAAAAAAACACAAAGAAAAAAATAAACAAAAAAACAAAACAAGAATTAAAGATCTAAAAAGAAGAACAATGAATAAAAAAGGAAACAAAAATATTCAAAATAAACAAAATAAAATAAAAAATAAAATAAAAATATTTTCAAATTCAAAAATAAAAATAAAAAATAAAATCACCTTAGATCAATCACGGAGTTACAAGTAAAAAAAAAACACAGAAAAAAATTCAAAATGCAAAAATAAATGCAAAAATAAATGTAAAATCCAAAAAAGAAAAAAATGAAAAAAAGGAAGAAAAGAAAAGAAAAAAGAGGATGAGGATGATCTAAATTTCTTTGAGTTTGTTTTAATTAACCAAAGTTTTGGGAAATGTAATAAGTGCGTTATCAAACAAAAAAAAATGATCAAAAATCATATCATTATAAAAAGAGAGAGAGAGAATAAAAAACAAAAAAGAAGATGTATACAAAGGTGAAATAAGAAAGTAAAGCTAAGAAAAGTATAAAAAAAAAGAAAATAGAAAAAAAAACAAAAGAAAGACGAAAGAAAAAAATAAAATAAAAAGAAAGAAAGAAAGAAATGAGAGATGCTCAAGGTAAGATATAGAAGAATAAGTAAAATATGAGACAATGGTGCATAATGATCTAATTGATGTCCTTTTTCATAAGAGGTTATTCTCGAAGATCTAGAATTCAGAAGGCATTGCAGTTCAACCCGAATACTTTATCATGTCTAAAGTCCCTTCTAAAACTGATTGCATCCCTCAAGTGGCGGTCCCACCAAACACAAAGACAACAGTGTTGACTCATGTCTCGTATGGTGACTACCTCCATCTCCAAGAGACATTGAATGAAATGTCAATTAAGTTGGCCAAATTGGAAGCCAAGAAATCTCAAACTGCTCAATCTGCTCCCGCAATGGGAACCCAACCATCTTTCCCTCCTACATCCTATTCCTTTGTATCCTCTTTATCCTATAACCCTAGTCCCATGTCAGAAGCAGCATATTGGTTATCTCCCTTTGTTTTTACTACAAGAACCAAATAGACTCATCAATCAAGGACATTTCACATCTCTAATTTTGAGAATCCAACCTTACCTCAACCCACTGGTGCATCCTTGGAAGGAAAGAATTTGAATGATTGTCACCTAGTCTCCGCTCCAAGATCCCTTCAAGATTGAATTAGAGCAGATTAAAGATGAGTTGAAGAGGTTGAAAAAAGTTCAGAATTTGGGAGTTACAGATTTCAAAGAGTTGTGCTTGTACCCTAATGCGGAGTTGCATGTTAAGTTCAAAATGCCAGACCTTGAAAAATATGATGAGAAATGATGCCCACAAATGAGAAATTATTCATTCAGATGTTTTAGAAGAGCGTTATAGGGAGTGCTAGAACTTGGTTTGCAAATATGGCATATGAAAAGAAAAAGACTTGGAAATGTGTTTCAAAGGCATTCTTAGACCAACTTTCTTATAACATGGAGTTAGCACCTGATCGAACAGATCTCGAGTTTATGACTTAGAAGTCAGGAACAAGTTTATTGGATTATGCATATCGGTGGCATAAATGGAAGCTAAATTACGACACCCAATGCCAAAAGAAGAGGTGGTGTGGTTGTTTATCAAGACATTAAATGATCCATATCATACATTGTTGATTGCACAACCTTTGAAGGATTTTAGTGATGTCGTGAAGGGAACTGTCAGAATCAAAGAGGCTCTTAAAGGGTCGGATCAACCCGATGATGATCCCTAGAAATTCACCATCATTCAAGAAATCCTCTCCAAAGTATAATGAAGGGAATGAAGTGCAAGCTACTTCTGCTTTTAAGTTTCGGGTACTTCGAAACCAGGTTCGGTCCAACTCGTTTGAGAAGTGCAAGCTATTTCTGCTTTTGAGTCTCGGGTACCTTAAGCCCATTTCCCAAAAGTTTCAAAGCTGCATTTTATCCTGAATCTTCTCAAACGAGTTGGACCGAACCTTAGTAGACATATTATCCCTTGCCCATACAAGCACAGATGTATCATTTGCCTCCCATTATTAGACAGTTATGCCCTTAGCTCCAATCAGATTGATGTAAATGAATAAATTACATAATTGATTCATGTCATTGTGGTGTGTTTCTATGTAATACCTTTAAACTGGACACTTATGAGACTTGTGTTAGTTTAGAATCTTCACAGTCGTTGGATAGATCTGGGGAGATTTATCCTACCAAGGCTGACACTGATGTACCGCCAAGTTGGTTGGGGTGACTTGTCTCAGCTGCCAAGGTGAGACTTGAGGTACATGCAGTGCGGGTTTTCTTGAAGCCCTGAACCGGACCGAAATCACAATATTGCCCTGGACCTTGGAGATAGATGGGCAAAACTGGAATGTTACATCAGACCCCTAGACTCAATTATGGTATTGCACCAGGTGTTGGATTGGGTTGCCTTTGATATGCCAATCAGTGAGATCCTTATAGGGGGTCAAAACTTGGGTATGTTGGGACAGTTCGAGAATTCATCTGAGTGAGTTTTCCGCTGCATAACATATAGATTCTCTACCATCTAGCACATTATAAATTAGATTTTATGTTACATAGCACATATGTTTTCCGCCATCTAGCACATCCCAAATCAAATTTTCTGTTGCATATCACAATCTTCCACTATTTGGCACATTATAAAATTACCAGTTTTCTCACTTCATATCACATAAGTTTCGCTGCATAGCACATAGTTTTCTTTTCGCCACTTTTGCACATTATAAATCACCGATTTCTTCGCTTTATAGCACTTGAGTATTTTCTGTTACACTAGCGCATTATAATTTTAATCAAGGCTTCATCATTGTTTTCATCGCTACATGGCACATTATTGATTATGATCTTATGCTTTCTCACCTCACAGCAAATAGTTGACCTCACTCCACAATATCATCCAATACTTGTTGGAAAGTTCATTATTGCCAAAATTAAATAGATTTCATACATTGAGATACTTTTGTCTTTGTTTTATACTTTTTTTAATGCTTTTCTTTACGACAAATGTACCTTGATTCCAAAGGTTCTTGATACCTAAGGAGGGTCACCTTACCAAGAATCAAATGGCTTGAACATGTTGAAACGATGTTGCATGAGAACTTCTTTTCATCTCAATCCTCTTTCCTCATCTTGCCCCTCTTCCAAGTTACCTTTCAAAAAACTTTGTGTGCTTCTTTTGGTATTTGTTGTTTCGTAGTTACCTACCTCACAACAAAGAGGGGTGGCTGTTAGCACTTGATTTTTGCTCAGTTCGCTGCCTGAACCTCCAATTTACCTTAAATACCTGATCAAACCCATTCAACTTCTTCGAAAACACCCAAAAACTCAAAAAATCCTAACTTTTAGCCCAAAGGCCGTTAAATCAATTGTTAAAGCTATCCAATACCAATCCAATGGCCCCGATCGACCCTCACTTACACCTCAACCATTAGATCAAACTTCATCATCAGATCCCAAACACCTCCAAATACCCACATGTGAAATCTCAGTCTAGAATACCTTAGTTTACCCTTTAATCGCACCAAGATTCCATTTCAATGTCCCAATTTGACCGAATCACAAATCTGTTTGATCTGGGGCCAATTGGTTCAATCTAACTTCACAAATCACCTCAGAATACCCAAAACCCTTACCCTGAGAAGTTTCATCCAAAACAAACCATGTTTGCCCTTTGATTGCACATAGATTACGTTTTGAGGCTCTAAATTAGCCAAATCAAACCTTTTCTAGATCTGCCCGATTCAGGCTGAGTTAGGCTAAGCTGACCCCACCAATCACCTCAGACCACCCAAAAACCCCACCTTGTAAAATTTCAGCCAAAATTATCCTCATTTACCCTTCCACTTAAAAAGATTTTGTTTCGGCTAATCTCACTAGCCCATTCACACAAAACCCTTTTCGGCGGCCAGATTCATCTCAACCTTCCATTTTTTTACTCAAAATCTCGGCTATACATCTAGAAACCCGGTTTGACCACTCTTTGACCCGGTTTGACCAGACTTTTTTGAAATTACAAAAATGCCCCTAGGAGTCTCCAAAATTACGAAGATGCCATTAACGCTATTATAAATACAGACCTAACTCTCTCTTACAATCTAAGTACCTGTTCCCCTTTTCCCCGTTCGTAAGAACAGAGGCGGCGGCAGCTCGGCGAGAGAACAATCCTTCACCGGTCTCTCTCTCTCTCTCTCTCTCAGAAGTCTACCTCTCTCTCTTGTCTCCATCTCTCCTCCTCCTCTTCTTCTTCTTCTTCTTCTTCTTCTTCTTCTTCTTCTTCTTCTTCTTCTTCCCTTTCTCTGTGATTGCAGCGGCGGATTCAAACTCAGCAGCGATCTCCTCTCCGACTTCTCACCGCCGAGCTCTCTTCCATATTTTTATTCTTCTCTATCTTCCATTTCCCCTTTTGTTCCAGTTTTCGTCCCCGCCCCTGCAAGCGGCAGACCCTCTATCTTTCATTATTCATTTTTTTTTTCTATTTGTGCTCCTTCTCACAGTTGCCGCCACCTCTCTCACCGCCGAACCAGTTGCCTTTTGCTCTGTCATTCTGCCGAACCAGTTGCCCTCTCGCATCCCGGAATGCCATCATCGGCATAGGAAGAGTCCCAAATCGTTCAAACACATTGCAAAAGTTCCCGGTTACAGGCCACATTGCAAATGAGTCTCCAGTCAGTCCGGCGACAGTAGCCATCACCCGGAGATCTCTTCCCTTACCGTTCACTTAACGAATTCAGGCCAGGATATTACTCAGGTAGCCTCACTGAAACTCTTAGTCCTGTTTTTTTACAGTGACGATTAGAGGTTGTACCTTAATTCCGGATATCGAATGGATATGGATTTATGTCAGTTGTTTATCTGTGAAGTTTATGCTGTGTAGGCCGATCAAATATAGAGGCCTCTGTTATTTTCCTTTTTTTTTATTTTGTTTCATTTTGATTTATCTGTCCGATTACAGAGGCCTGTTATTTTCTTCCTTTTCCTCTAGTTTTTTTAGTTTATTATTATTATTTTTTGTTGTTAATGATTTACGAGATTGGGGTTTCTGAAGTAATACCTGCTTGTTCATGCTAAATGATGAAGTATGCTTTGTTTAATTTCATTTGATCCTATTGATGCTTTAAGATTGCATGTGCCTAGTCTTTGTCTTTTTGTATAAGAGCAATAAATCCCTTTTACCTCATCACTGTTAATGCTTTTCAAAAGGGCATTGCTTTGTCATTTAAATGCCTTTTTTATTAGCTAGCTATTGTTTGTTTAGGTAATTACTTCTGTTTCATATTGGAGACAATAATACCATGTGGGCCCCACCTATTGGGTTCGGGAGAGGGGTGCCTAATCCCTTCCCTCGTTGGATCAGCGCCTCAGGCTTTGGAGTCACTATTAAGACAAAGCATTTTAAAAATCATTCTTGGAGGTCCCATCACCTTCATTCCTAACTGTGATGGGGTGGCGATTCCATTTCCAGCCCAAGTGGCAAGTGAGCCGTTTTTCCCTACGCTCACAAGAGGACCTTGCCTAGGGTTACTTCTAACCATTGGTCCATCTGCCTTTTCTAGTGGAGTTCCTTAGGTGGCCCTTCATCTTTAGAGAATGAAAATATGTGGATCAATCATCTAGGTTTTAATGAGAAGGTAAGATGTTGGTGGGATATGGATTTCCATGCTCTATTGCGGGAAAGCCAAAGGTTTTAATAGAAGCTACAAACGTTGAAGGTGGAAATAAAAGAATGGATAAAGTTGAATTTGGGAGATTGAAGGAGAGGAAGGATACCCTCGTTCCTTAAATTGAGGATATTGATTGAACGGAAGAGGACAGCTTTTTGGAAGATGGGGATAGAGAGAGGAGGTAGAGTTTGGAGAAGGAATTAGAGGAAACTTTGCCAAGGGAAGAACTTGGGTGGAAGTAGAAATCGAGAGAGAAGTGGATTAAGGAGGGGGTAGTGACACTTGTTTCTTTCATGCAATTGCTAATGGAAGAAGATGAAAAGGCTTAATATCCTCTATAGTGGTGGAGGATGAAGAAATTACAGACCAAGGTAAGATAGCAAAGGGCTTTATAGATCATTATATATCAATTTATAGAAGGCCTCTCAATGGAAGATGGTTAGTGGAAGGTCTTGATTGGGATGTTTTGGAAGCTCATCAAGGGTTTTTTTTGGAAAGAAGGTTTGAGGAGGAAATTAAGGAAGTTTACTTTTTTATGGATAGGTTGAAGGCTCCAGGACTAGATAGTTTGACAATGACCTTTTATCATGATTCCTAAGATAATTAAATGCAATTTGGTTAACATGTTTAGGGGGTTCCATAAAAGGGGTATAATTAGTCTAAGGATGAACTCAACCTCCATAACCTTGATCCCTGAGAAAACCAATGCTTGCCATCCAAGGGGCTTTTAGACTGATTAGCTTAGTAACAAGCATTTACAAATTGATTGGTAAGGTGTTATTTCTCAAGGTTATAAAGGTGTTGCCTTCATTAATCTCCTAGCTACAAGGTGCTTTTATTCATGATAGGTAGATTATTGATTAGATTCTAATTGCAAATGAATGTGTTGAGGCTCAAAAGAGACCAAGGAGGGAGTATCAATCAAATTGTGTTTGGAAAAAAGCTTATGACTTGGTGGATTGGGGGTTTCTAATCAATCTCTCGAGGACTTGTGGATTTGGGTAGGTTTGGGGTAAACGGACTAGAGGTTGTTTGAAATCTAGTCATTTCACCCTTAGGGGTAGGTTGGCTGAAATTGAATTTTGATGGTAGCAATGTTGGTAATCTGGCCCCCTCAGGAATTGTAGGGGTATTTAGAGATGATGGTGGTACTATATGTGCTTTGTTTTTAGGCCTAATCGAACAATGTGACTCGGCGAGAGCTGAATTCCTACTAGCTGTATTTGAGATTGAAAAAGCCAAGGAATTAGGAGTTGGTTGGCTGATAATTGAAGGTGACTCAATGGGTTGGCAAAAAAAGGGTGTAGGTTATGTTGGAAGTTGCAAAATGAATTCAGGCACTTATAATGTTCTAGTCAAATGGGCTAGAAGTGTTAACAGTTTTGTAGATACTTTAGCTATGCAAGACGATCAGAGACAATAGATGTTTTGGGCACAGTTGTAATTTCTTGGGGGGTTAACTTTGTATTGGCATTGTTTTCTTTTCACAACTTATTGGTTGTACTCTGGCTCTGGAGATTCCCTACTAAATCTAATGCTCTTTGCAACTTTGTTGTAAACAAGTATGGGAAGGATGCGAATGCTTGGGACAACAATCACCACTTGGTATGGGTCAAATCAACCAATCCTTGGAAAGGTAGTACTCAAACCTATAATATTTTCATTAAATTCACTAATTTCAGGTGGGGAATGGTAACAAAATTAAGTTTTGGATTGATCTTTAGTGGGGAGAGAGGCTTCTTACCGAGTCTTTCCGCTACTTATTTGGCCTTTCTTAGGTTAAGAATGCTTTCAAATCTTCTTTGTCCTCAATGCCTTCACCCCACGGAAATAATCAGAACTTGTTTCTTAGAAGACTTCTCAGGGATTATTCTTAGCTGAAGTAAGTTACGGGCCTCTTGAACTTCTCAAGGAGGTTCACTTGTCCCCTAAGCCTGTGGCTATTTTGGAAAATCCATCTGTATGGTAAGTTCACCAACTCTTTAAGGCCCTTGTTTCAGATCTACAAGAACCCAATTTTCTAACTAAGAAGGCGTGGGACACTATTATTCATCCAAGAGTATCATTTTTTGTGTGGGAGGTATGGGGAGAATCAATACATGTTACATCATGCAAAAGAAGAAACTAGAAGGATTGTGGATATCTCCTTATGTGTGCATCATGTGCTTTCAGGATGGAGAAATAACAAATAACCTTCTTATTCATTGTTTAATGGAGGGCTTCCAATGGAACTTGTATTTAAACCTTGATGGTTATATAGCTGGGCTGCTTTGGAGCATATTTTGGACTTTTAAACTAGTGGCATCTGTGTGGCTTCGGTAGTAGAGGAGAGATTTATTGGAACATTACCACATATGTAGTAATGTGGGGCATGTTGGAAGAGAGAAACAGAAGATAAGGCTAGATCCCACCTTTGTAAAGGGTTCTCACATTAAAGGATTATTTTGAATGATCTCCAAAGGAATCTGGTGGAGATTCTTTACACTTCATGGAGTCTCACATCCCATTGCATTGTCCAAGTAGGGTGGAGGAGGCTTCAATGAATGGACAGCCTTGGTGCGACTAGTGCTGGAGGTGAGATTTTAAGAAGAGATAGTAGTATTTTCTGGGTTTTCAGTTGGTTGATTGATGTGATTAACTGTATAAAAGCTGTAGTATTGGCTGTTTTAACAGGTTCAAGGTTAACTAAGCAACTGGGATTGTCGTCCCTTTCTATAGGAGACACTACAAATACCATTAATTGGTTAAGGGAGAGTGATGGCTAAAGTGTCATTCTTCTTGGAGACTTGACAAATACCATGACAATGTATTTGGATTTTGGAAATGTCAATGCCCTCCAAAGTATCATTCTTCTTGTGGATGTGTAGTTAGAGAATTCTCACCATTGACAACTTCTTAACAAATGTAGCTAGAGAATAACCTATGGTGTATGGTGAAGGATAACGTGATACGAGGATGGTGAAGGATAATATGATATGCGGATGGCCAAAAAAATGGCTGAAGGTTGAAATGGAGTGGTCAAAATTGACACAAAGATGGCGAGAAAAAGGGTTGAGAGGATAGAAGTCATAAATGCAAGTTTAGCTAGAAGGTTTGGATTGGAGTTGGGAGTAAAAAGTGGAAGCATGGGTATTATTTGAATGGGGTAAGGATAGTGTTTTAGGAGTGCGGAAGTTAAAATAGGGGCTTGTTTTTGTTTATGTTTCATAGTAGAAATGATGCTGACTGGGTTTTGGAGGTAAAGGAAAGCAGGGACTACGACTTTAGATTAAGTTGGTAGTTTCCAGCGACAGGTTTGGCTCAATAAGTTAATGAGAATATAACATTTGGAAATGCATTGAAATATATAGGTCCTTGGTGTAAGCTTTCTTTTGTTACCCTTGGTAAGGAGTCACTAAGCCTGCTAAGAGTCTCGTATGAAGTTCAATGTAGTTGTCTATAATCTTAGTTTGGCTAATGATTTTATGGCCACTTGTATGAGTCCAAAATGAATAAAATTAGACTTAGGTTTTCTTTTATAGGCTTCAATTGTCTCTTGACCTATTAGGTGGAAGTCTTCATATTTAATATCTAATGTTATTGTTTTTCCTATGGTTTTTTATGTTAAAGTCTGTCTTAGACTAAGTATTCCCTTTCTATATATTTTTGAAGGTGCTATTTTAGGAATTGCCCAATTCTGTAGGGATTTTTCTATATTATTATAGCTAAGTTCTTCCATATTTTTAATGGACAGGGATTTGGTGATGGTTGGACTAGAGCTACTAGTCAGAAGGGTTCTCTTTTTTAGACAAAGAGATTTAACCTAGCAAAGCAAATCGCCGAATTTGTCCCCAACGACGCCGCCTCCCTACAAGCAGTTGCTTTGGTCATTCATTTGTGAAACGAAATAGAGAAAGGGCTCCAACAGAATTCAAAAAATTTGCAAAGAAATAAATTTAATTTCTTCGGTCCTCCCTTCTAACATTCCCAAAATCTGCTTTGAAAACCTATTTTCCCTCAGTTGTTCGTTCAAAGTCCAAAGAGACCATGAGTGGTGATTATAGCCGATAAGATTACTTACTACACCGGCGAATCCCTCTCCTTCATACTTCTGTTTGGGAGGTTTATCTTTATCATGTAAAAGAAGAAGATGAGAAAAGAAAAGGCTGATGTCTTGCGCTCCAAGGAAACAAATAAAACTCCCTCATTGAGTCTCCCTTTTTTTATCTATCTATTGGCACTATTTATATTGAAATCGGTGGAAAATCTTCTCGTCTGACCCTTCTCTTCAAAGTTCAAACTTTAAAGCTAAAACAAACCAAATTGAGAAACATTGTTAATGAGGACGATGGAGAAAGGGACTCCAAAGATCGATTTCGTAGAGGTTTAAGGGATGGTGAGTCAAATTGTGTTATTGAGCTAATTCATTTACTAGAATCCGTTTGCTTGGACCCCACTTCTTTTGATCAAAGGGTTTGGACTCCTCTTCCAAAAGGTACTTTTACTTGCTCTTCTTTTCTAAAATCCCTCAGTTCTAACCCCTTTTCCCAAGGATTCCTTGTCAAAGAAGTCTGGGCGCGACCTATTCCCCCAATAATTGCTGTATTTTGCTGGGAAGTCTTCTATGGGAAGATCAATACTTTGGAAAACTTACAAAAAAAGAGACCCTCGCTTTGTCTTTCCCCAAATTGGTGTTCCTTGTGTAAGGCCGAGAGTGAGGACTGTGTCCATTTGCTGATCTCCTGTTCCTTTGCTACAACTATATGGAGGTGGAGCCTTTGTTTATTTGGAGGTAGGTGGTCTTTGCCTTCTGATTTAA